TGGAGGTTTAGAGAGGCCATTGCATGAGGCTTGAAGTTGAAGCCTGGATTGCTTTGGAGATCCCAAAATGTCAGAGATGCCAGAGCCATGGGACACCTGCTGAGCAAAGTTGCTAATAGGAAGTGTAACCAGCCCAAGAGAAAGAGGTGTGTCGCAGTCAACAAAGCTGAATAAAGGTGGAGATCTAAACAGCACTTTGACATCAGACATGGAGATGTAGTTTGGAGATTGTCTCCTTGGATTTGGTCTTCCTTTGGTCCAGTATTTCCTTACTATGCTCCCTTTCCTCCCATTTAGAATGGTAATGTATATTCTGTGCCATTATATGTTGGAAATATGTGATCTGCTTCTCATTTTGATTTTACAGGGAATTACAGCTAAGAGATTACATGAACCTCAGAAGAGACTTTGAACTTTTGACTTTTAAATATGTTTGAGACTGTTAGAGACTATGGAGACTTTTGAAATTGGACTGAATGTAGTTTTGCATCATGATATTGTTACAGAGTGGCATGTGATAGTTTGAAAGAAAATGGCCTCCATGGGGAATGACAGTATTACGAGGTGCAGCTTTGTTGGAGTAGGTGTGGCCTGGTTTGAAGAAGTGTGTCCCTATGGGGATGGGTTCTGAGGTCTCCTATGCTCAAGCTACTTCCAGTGTGGAATATAGTTCACTTTCTGCTGCCTGTGGATCAAGATGTAGAACTTTCAGCATCTTCTCCAGCACCATGCTTACCTGCATGATGCCGTGCTGATAATGGACTAAACTTCTGAAAGTGTAAGTTAGCCCTAATTCTCTATGGAATGATACCTTGCTCAGCCTAGATACAGGGGGGAGGGCCTTGGTCCTGCCTCAATATGATGTGGCAGACTTTGTTGACTCCCCATGAGAGGCCTCATCCTCTCTGAGGAGTGGATGGGGGGTGGGATAGAGGATGGTGGGGGAATGGGAGAAAGGGAGGGAGAGGGAACTGAGTTGGTATATAAAATTAAAGAGATTGCTTAAAAAAACAAACAAAAAAGTTCATGACAGGGAAACTCACAGAGTCAGCTGACCTGAGCAGTTCACAGGAGTCTGCATGGAACCAAAGTAGGCCCTCTGCATGTGGGTGACAGTTTTGTGGCTTGGTCTGTTTGTAGGGCAACTAGCAGTGGGACCAGGATCTATCCCTGGTACATGAGCTGGGGTTTTGGAGCCCATTCCCTATGGTGGAATGCCTTGCTTAACCTTGATGCAGGGAGCAGTGTCTTAGTCCTTCCTCAACTTAATGTGCTCCCCATGGGAGGCCTTACCCTTTCTGATGAGTGGATAGGGGAATGGGGTAGAGGGGGTACTGGAGGAGGGGAGAGGGAACTGGGGTTGATATGTAAAACAAATTTAAAAATTTTAAAAAGTTTCCATGGTCATGGTGTCTCTTCACAGCATTAGAAACCCTAGCTAAGACAGGCCTCTGTTCCTTGGGTGTACCAATAAACACAATTATTCTGTGTGTGCTTCCCCATGGCCAAATGATGGAGTTATGAATGAAGCTTGGCCATTTTGAATGTGTACATGTATATGTTTGAATCTTATATTGCCAGCAGAACACTTCCCTTTCTGTCTCTTTTCACTTTACTTAAGAATAGAATAATTTTTGAATAATCTTCCAAACTCATCTTGTGTCTTTGATTTTAAATGTTAGAAGTAAAGTAGGATTGGAGTGAATATTTGTTTCATGCTCTTTCTAGCATAGTCTTTCTGAGGGCCAGTGTGAAAAGGTAAGGATGCAAAAATATGATTTCAGAACAAAAATTTTCAGGGCTTAAAGAGAGGGTATAGCCTGGCTATGGTGCTCAGGCCTTTAATCCCAGCTCTTGGGAGGTAGAGGCAGGCAGATCTCTGAGTGTAGCTAGCCTGGTCTAAAGAGTGAGTTCTAGGACAGTCAGAGCTACACAACAAAACCCTGTCTCAAATCCAAAACAAAAAAATAGAGTAACAAAACCAAAACAAAACATAGAGTATACAGTGAGAAGGATCGGATTAGGACAAATTAAACCACATTACATTTTTCTCCAGATAAAAATTGAAAGTAACAATTATGCAATTGGATTACTTGTTGAAAGCATTAGTCAGTACTACAGAGCTGGAGTAATATTGGAATAAATAGAAAAGCAATAATGTTCAAATGAAATTATAAATACAAAGATTTGGTAATCAACCAACAAGTACATCACAGATAGTTTGAAGATATGAGAAGGATTATATATCCTTCAACACAGCTGTATAGCCTTTTCATCTAACACAGTTGTGATTGTTTGGATCAACTCAGAGACAAGAACCAGATCTGTGTGATTTATATGTGCCTTAGCTTTGCACTTGGCACAAATGACCCTCTAGTAAAATATACCTGTTTAATTTACATGTGTTCTGTGCTTCCACAAGGCAGTAATGTTATTTTGGAATGTGTGAATGATCACAGCTTCAAGAGTTATCAAATTATATCCTATGAGTACTCTAAAGTATCTTTCCTTGTAATGCACATGACTTTTGAGGTTAGTCAACTGAACATAAGTCAAGAATATAGTTAATAAATATTCACACTTATTATACTCTCATGGTTTTATACAAAATAATCTACAACAGAATTCTAAATTAGCCTTGCTATTATAAATTGTTTTAATTTGGTAATTAAAATTTGTTAACACAAATGACAAAGCAATATCATAGTCTAGTTATATGCAAGGAATAATTGTGTATAAGGTACATGATGATCTTCCTTAATAGTTTTCTCTTTAAGTAAACAGTAAGATAGTGGAACACAGGAACAAGAAAGCTATGCTTTCATGTAAAGAAATTTCCTGCCTAATGGAGGTTAAAGGTCTCATAGCGAGAAACGGTATTTTATGTCCAGATGTATTGGGCTGGAATGACATCAGCTTATTGTGAGAGTAAAGAAAAGGACCAAGAAATCGATGCGTGTCCTCAAACGTACAAACAGAATTTGAACATGCATAAGCTCTATCGGATAAATTTGTCCACAGTTTCATGTTAACTACAGTTCAGGTGGCAACAGCGAAAAACCAGCTATATGTCCTTACTTGAATGATGAACTGAGGTTATCTCCCACAATGTTTTTGTAAAGTAGTCAGTTAATAAATAGTGGCTGCTTGAAAAATCGGGGAAAATGCTTTGATGGAAGAAAATTAGAGCATCTTTTTACTATTTTTAAAGAAATTCTTTTATAATTTAAAAAGTTTTGATGTTAATATAATTATATTATTTTCCCTCCCCTTTCCTCCTTGCTCTTTCTCAAAATCATGGCCTCTTTTTCTTTAATTGTCATTTTACACACATGAGTGCACGTGCGCGGCAACACACACACACATACACGCACACACGCACGCGCGCGCGCACACACACACACTCTTAAATGTAGCAAGTTTTCTCTTGTTATTATGAAAGCTTAGCCTTAGCTTAGGCTTGTTATTAACTGGCTCTTATAACTTAAATTAACCCATTTCTGTTAATCTATGTTCTGTCACATACTGTCTGACCATTCCTGCTTCCTCCATGTCTTCTCAGTCTCTCTCATGTGACTAGATTTCTCCTCCTCCCCTTTTCTCTCTCTCTACATGGAAGTCCTGCCTATACCTCCTGCCTACCTGTTGGCATTCCTTAATTTACAATACTTGGGTGGTAGAGACATGCAGATCTTTGCAAGGTCAACGCCAACCTTGTCTACATAGCTACACAGGAAGCTCCAGACCAGCCAAGTCTACATAGTGAAAGAGATCCTGTCAAAGAAGGAGACGGAGGAGGAGGAAGAAGAAGAAGAGCAGGAGGAGGAGGAAGGGGAAAAGAGAAGGCCTCTTTTGAGTTGTTGGTTAAGGTTGTCCAAGAGACTCCCAAACATTATAAAACATTACAATTGCCCTTGGTTGCCCTCCAGAGTTGGAAGGTAAGTCCTGATGCTGAAGACACAAAGCATTTGCATTCTGGACACAGGAACCAGAGTATTCAAGGTTGATATGACCTGAATGCCTCCTCCCTGAAGACTGGCTTTCATGATACCAGAAAGTGCCTCGAAACTTCCAAAGGAGGAAAGCAACCAGTAGTCCTTCTCAGATTTAGTCCTTATGAACTAAAGGCACTAAGGGTGCCCTAAGGGTGCAGCAGTGGTACACACACCTTGGCTGTAACCAACAGCTCTCTAATTGGAGACAGACCTGATCAACAGAGGAAAATCATACCTGGTGCTGGAAACTTCGTCAACTACCTGGGATCTGTGAAGTCATGCAGGGGAACCTATAACTTTACCAAACCAGTGTAATACCTATTTTTTCTAAATATTTATTCTCAAAAATTATTTCTTAAAAAGTAAAAGTAAATGCTATTTTGTGCTAAACTAAAATTTTGGTACCATAAAGGTTTGCTGGCTGCGGTCCTTGTGAATGAAAGTAAAATTCTGTACCATCGCTTTCCACTTACTACTGGGGAATATTCTCAACAAAACAAACAAGGTAGGTCAACCACATCTCAGTGAACATACCAGTGAGCATGTGGGTAGTACACATCATACTTAATGGGTTATAAAAAATAATGGCATGAGTTTGGGAGCGGAGACGTGGTGGGCGTAGCATCATGAAGAGGAGAGTGTGGGTGGACATGATCAAAGTACTCTGAATAGATGTAAGAAATTCTCAATATAAATGGTCTGTTATTTTTGTAAAAACTAGAAAACGTGACACACCCCCCCCCGGAGTAGAAATCGGTACGCAGCCTTCACACCACACCCTGCCATTGAAAACCCAAACCACAGAAGGTCCCTCAGAGCAGGAGGTCCTCTTCCACAATCATTGGCTATGACATGTAACTGGACTAGAACTGTTGGTTCTAGGCTAACTATGGAGCAGGAGAGAGAATTCACAGATCTGGTAACATGTGACGCCCCTCAACGTCACAGTGGGAAACATTCATATCTGAGGTAACCTTCTGGTGGTTGCCTGGGAGTCTTTCCAAACCTTGTAGCTCACCGTGCCAGGAGGCCTTGGCCTTCAGGAGTGCTACAGCAAGGGGTGTACAGCCCCTCCAGGAAAGCAGGCCTGTGAGTCCTCAGTGCTGTGAGGAGACAGGAGGGAGCACTAATGGAGCCCGGCAGGGCAACCTTAGCTGGGAGAGAGCTCTAGGGGTGGAGCTAGGGAGACAAGGAGAGGGGGTCAGCCTGAGTGGCTCCACAATCCTCACAGAGGTTTGAAGGTTCTGTAGAGCAGGAGGTGAGCCCGAGTCCGAAGCTAAGGTAAGAAGCATGGTCCTGGGGCTTTGGGCTTCTCTTGGGTGAGGGTAGGAGTGCAGTCGGGAAAAAGCATAGTTACAAATTTCCCAGATAATGACAGGTTACACAGTAGACCGTGCAGTAAGAAGTCAGGACTGCATTTCCACGTGATAGAAAATAGGACAATGTGGGCGTATTTCAGGGTTTTTCTCCTGTGCGCTCTGGTATGTACTAGCTAGACAGGTGGCCGCCCGCTGAGCTAGGTGCTCATACTCACACCCCACAGGTGGATGTGCTTGAAGCTGAGCTAGTAGGTTGTACGCTGCTGTCCCAGGGGATCTCACAGCTTCGTACCCTGCGTGACTGCACCATTGCTAACTGATTCTTAACACGCACTTCCACAGTGTTTCTGTATACAGGCCTGGTCTCCCCTAAGTCTGCAGTCAAGAAGTTTGAACATAGTGAAGAGAACTCTGACATAAAACCCTGTGTAAGGCAGGCAGGTGCGGGATGAGACTCTGTTGCTGTTTTTTTTCGACCAATATCGGTGATTTTTAGTGACCAGAAAGAGATTTTAAAGGGTTTCATCCTAAAACGATCTCATGCTGGCTGTGGAACTCCAGTTTGAGTGCTCTAGTTTCTATTTAGGGGGTTTAATGAGCATTTTTCTCATTTTCACTAAGGCATCTTTATCTCTGGTGTGCACAATAGTCAGCTTCTTGAGGTTACCAGCGCTTTTAGTGTCTAGTCTTCATGTGGTCCATGTGGGATGCCATAGTATAGGTATTATTGCTTCGATCTACCTTGAGCTTACCAGCGCTTTTAGTGTCTAGTCTTCATATGGTACATGTGGGGTGCCATAGTATAGATATTATTGCTTAGATCTACCTTGAGGTTACCAGTGCTTTTAGTGTCTAGTCTTCATATGGTACATGTGGGATGCCATAGTATAGATATTATTGCTTAGATCTACCTTGCAGGTTAGTAAACTGAAGTTCAGAGGTCACACAGCTGCTGATGGCAGAGCCCAGTCTCAATTTTAATTGACCTGTTTACAGTCCAGTGTTTTCCCTCTTAGCTACAACTCAATGTGGCTGCTCAAGAATGGTTTCAAAATAATTTTGTTAGATCTACAGAAGAATTAACGCCATGGCAGTGGCTTCCAATGGTAGCAACCCAGTATGTGAAGAACCATTCTTTCCCCACGACTGTGGGAGGCTTAGCTACTTTGTTTTCTTACCAGTTCACTGCATCCCCTTTAGAATCACAGCCGTGCAGGGAAACAAACCCCGTATTTATGTGGAAGGAACTTGTGCTGACAGTCATCCATGTATTGCCTTTCTTTTTTATCTAAGGCAACAGATCTTTAGAAACAGTGAAGGTATGGATAATAAGTTTTCTAGGCTTTGCAGCCATATGATTTCAGGCACAAGGACTCAACTTTGTTATTTTTGTATCTTTGTTTAGAGATGAACACTTTTTGAAGAAAGAGAGATTTATTTAGTTTAACTATAAATAAATCCATATAGCATGGAGTTGGGGTTTATAGTTAGGTCCTCTTGGCTATATCATAACATTGTAGCAAAGCAAAAAAAGAAAATCGCTAAAGGAACCATAGACATGGTTTGTTTGATGGAACAACACGCGATCTTTAAGTAACTGAGCCCTGTGAGAACTACATCATCCTCCCTTGGGGGCTGCACCCTATTATCTTTTGTGTCCCACCTCATTTCAATACTTGCTCCATCGGGTAGAAGGACTCCATCCTATGAGCCTGTTGGGGACAAGCCATGGCTAAACCATTGTTGACAACCCTAGACAATGAGTGAATGAATGGTGTGTGCCTGATTTGTGGGGGGGAAAAAAGCAAGTCGATTTCACTCATTAACTTGATGCTCATTTACCAATTTCCTGTTCTAGGAGTAATTTCTAGATAATTTTCTTAGTAATGGCCAGTATGTACTAAAGAGCATTCTCTGTGTTAGAGTCTTTGCAAACATAAGCAGACTGGGGCTTTGGAGATCTTGTTAGTAAGTATTATTTTCTACTAGTTGGTTGGAACTAGGTTTGAAGTACGTCTTCGCTATTTGTGTTCATTGCCCACTGAAACACATGGAAACTTATCTCTTACCAGCTCTGTTATCTACAATTGCTTTTTGAATCTTGAGTTTTTTGAAGACCCTATATGTTTAAATTTAAATATAAATCATGATTACTTACATTCCCTGTGATGCTAAGCATGCATAAACTTATATATGATCATAGTTTCTGCTGCCACATCTGTTTATATTAGGAACCCAAAAAGCCTAATGACCCCAAAGAGTACTCAGGAACAATATCCAAGAGTTCACAAGTTAAGGCCATTTTACTGAAAAGGATAAAGATGGCAGGCCACTCTGTGGCTCTAAGAAGCTTTCCATTTTTTCCTTTTCAAGCGTGCAGGTGCCAGCTGAAAGAAGCAGATCACAATGAGGGCTATAATTCCAGGCACACACTGACGTGCTTACAGGGTTCTTTGGTGATCCCTAAAAAGGTTGCTGGATCCAAGTCCTGGTGTTTCTAGTGATAATTATGAAGCAAATATTGGAGAGCATCAGGAGAAACCCTGTAAATAAGAAGATATATATTTTTTGAGTTAGTGTTTTAACTTAATCAGAAAACAAATTTAGCCACATTGTTTAAAAAGTAGCTAGAAGGGACAGTTTTATTATTAGGTTAAAGTTTTTTTTTACAGGATTCTCATAGGAAAGCTGGAATCGTAATTACATGTAAATAATCATTAGTTTGATCATTATGGCAGTTTTACTTTGAAATTTATACAAAATTGTTTTACTTTATTTTCTTTTTTTTTTATATTTTATTTTCCAGTTTAAATTTAGATAAGAAACGAGGTTGCTTCACAAGTCAGTTCCAGGTCCCTCTCCCATTCCCTCCCCTCCCCCGTGCCCTCCCCCAACTCCCCCCCCGTTATCCCCTCATTCCCCCAGGGAGGGTGAGGCCCTCCATGGGGGTGTCCATAGTCTGTCATTTCATATAGGGCAGGGCCTAGACCCTTCCCCAAGAGTTCAGGGTGAGAGTGCACCTCACATTTTTCTATGGGAGTCCAAAGTCCGTGTGTATACTTGGGATGGGTACTGATCTGCTCCCCAAGGCTCAATAGATTCTCTAGGCCTCCTCTCTGACACCCAGATTCAGGGGGTCTTGATCAGTCCCATGCTGGATTCCCAGGCTGATGCCTGGGATTCAAGAGTTAACCTTTGTCTGGTCAGCTGTTTCTGGGGGTTAAACTAGCCCAGTCTTAATCCCTTTGGTCATCAGTCCTCCCTCTCTGTTACTGGCTTTTTTGAGTTCAGCTCAGTACTTAACCGAGGGAGTCTGCCTCTTCTTCGATCAGCCACTAAATTAAGTTTCTGTTTCCCAGACCCTCTGGCCATAGGATTGTAGGCAAAAAGAGAAATATGGCATGTACTTTATTTTCTTATAGGTTGTGTAAGTATTAATGTAGAAGCTGATATTAAAGGAGCCGCTTTTGTGAACATTATTAGCTCACTAAGTTACCATACTTTCTTGTGATCCTAAAAGCATAGGAGCAGAGGATGCTAGAAATGAAGGGGACTTGAGATTATTGACAAGAGGGTTTCTCATCAGCAGCACTATTAATGCTTCCGTGGGAGGCGGTGACGCACGATGGTGATGATGCAGTGAGAGAGCAATCCCGTGTGCTGCAGGACCTTTAGCAGTATCTGTGATCCTTACACACGGAGTTCCGTCGTTGGCTGTCGCTTGCTTATATTGAAGTGTAGCCAATAATATAAATGTCTTTGTAGTTGGAAAAGTGCTACTCAAAGAGGTGGTGGTGGGGGTCACTTTTAGTTAGAAACCTCTGTCTTGTTGCAGCTCGCTTGCTATAAAAGACTGTTAATCCCTTACCTCTGTTTCCAGTAATAAGAAGCTTATTTTTCACTTGGTATCACAGTTAAGTCTAGTATGCTTGAAGTAGGAGAAGACAAAGAATCAAGTTATGAATATAATTCAAAGCTTTTTGCTTTATGGTCCTTTCTATTTTCTTTTTTTAAGACTTTCAGATTGTACCATAGATAAATGACACTAAGAAAAGGACTAAATGTATTGTTTAATTTGACTGACCACACACATACATGCACACCTGCACAAACACACATCACACACACACATTGAATCACACAATTAGATAGGGTCTTGCTGTATAACCAGGCTGGTCTCGAACTCTTGAACTCAAGTACTCTTGCTATATTACCCTGAAACTAAGACTATAGGTGTGTGCCACTCTCTCATGCTAGTTTGTTTACCAGACTTTCGCAATGAAGCAAACTCTGTTGATTCTGATAGAAGCACTTATCTTTCCAATGTCCTGTGACAGAGTTTACTGGTGAACATCACCATCTGGCCCCCTTTTGATACGCCAGTGTAGAGACAGGCTCAGTCTTTCTATGCTTGCTTCTCTACTAGGAACACATTTTCTCCAGGCTCTGTTTTCTATCTGGCATATTCACAAAGCAGGCTATATTACTCCCTTATTTAAATTCATTTTATGTATGTAATTGTATTCAAATGTCTCAAAGTGTATGTTTGGTTCTTTAAAAAATATCCTAGTGAAAAAGGTATTTTGAGACTACTTTTGATGGCAATATAATTCTAGCAGGAGATGATAAATTCCAAGTATTCATGTTGCATGACAGTTTTTCTGAGAGACACAACACATGCACACACTCACAGGTACACATGATGCATACGTACATGCAATGTAAACACACACACACACACACACACACGCACACACACACACCTTCTCACTCCAGAAAGAGATTCCATGACATATCAAAGTAACAATCTCACCAATGTCCGTTTTGGTTAATGAACTGCAATTCCACTGGTCAGCCTTCTCCCCCTGAAGTTGTTTATTCTTTTTCATATTGCTGAGGAGAGGAGCTCTCAAGAATCTTCCAAGTGTTTCTTCTCTCAAACGTGGACCTTTTTATTACCTC